TAACGTAACATAACCTAACTTAGTCTAACCAAACCCAACCTTAATCAACCCAGCCCAAGCCTAACAAACCCAGCCCAGCCCAACCCTAAACAACCCAACCCGAGCCTACCAAACCCAACCCGAGCCTACCAAACCCAACCCGAGCAAACCCAACCCAACCCGAGCAAACCCAACCCAACCCGAGCCTACCCAACCCAACCCGAGCAAACCCAACCCAACCCGAGCAAACCCAACCCAACCCGAGCCTACCCAACCCAACCCGAGCAAACCCAACCCAACCCGAGCCTACCCAACCCAACCCGAGCAAACCCAACCCAACCCGAGCCTACCCAACCCAACCCGAGCAAACCCAACCCAACCCGAGCCTACCCAACCCAACCCGAGCAAACCCAACCCAACCCGAGCAAACCCAACCCAACCCGAGCAAACCCAACCCAACCCGAGCAAACCCAACCCAACCCGAGCAAACCCAACCCACCCGAGCAAACCCAAACTAACCCGAGCCAACATAACCCAACCCGAGCCAACCCAACCCAACTCAACCAGTGTATGACATCCCTGTACTCACCAACATCTTCAAACCACGTGATGTTGCAGAAGTTGGGCCACGACACACGTCGTGATTGGCCGGTGGATTATCTCAGTCTTAATCTCCACCTGCTCACGATCGTGCTCATCAAACCACGTGCGTTTTGTCTCCACGTTCTCACGTCTGGGGATAAAGTTAGGGTATCGTGAGTGGAGGGTATCGTGAGTGGAGGGTATCGTGAGTGGAGGGTATCGTGAGTGGAGGGTATCGTGAGTGGAGGGTATCGTGAGTGGAGGGTATCGTGAGTGGAGGGTATCGTGAGTGGAGGGTATCGTGAGTGGAGGATATCGTGAGTGAAGGGTATCGTGAGTGGAGGGTATCGTGAGTGGAGGGTATCGAGAGTGGAGGGTATCGAGAGTGGAGGGTATCGTGAGTGGAGGGTATCGTGAGTGGAGGGTATCGTGAGTGGAGGGAGGGTATCGTGAGTGGAGGGAGGGTATCGTGAGTGGTGGGTATCGTGAGTGGTGGGTATCGTGAGTGGAGGGTATCGTGAGTGGAGGGTATCGTGAGTGGAGAGTATCGTGAGTGGAGGGAGGGTATCGTTAGTAGAGGGAGGGTATCGTGAGTAAAGGAAGGGTATCGTGAGTGGAGGAAGGGTATCGTGAGTGGAGGGTATAGTGACTGAACAATTTCCCGCTTTATTTATGTGGATATGGTATCGTGAATAGGTCATCTAAGGGAGTCATAACGTAGTTTCCCCTCACTAGATAATGTCTCCCCTTAGTTTACTGATGTAGCAGATGCGTCTCCATACACCCTCACTGATATAGCTAATGTGTCACCCTCCCCCTGATTGCTGTAGCTGATGAGTTTCTATCCCCCCCCCCCCACCTCGACTTTATAGCTGATATGTCACCCCCCCCCCCCCCCCCCCCCCACCCACCTATTGCTGTAACTGATGTGACTTTATTTATGTAGCTCATGGCTCACCTCACTAGTGCAGTTGATGTGTCTCTCTCCCCCCCCCTCCACCTGACTGATGTCCCACCCCCCTCCCGACCAGTGTTTCCTCTAAGCTGCGCGGTTGTGCGGCCGCGCAGTTTGTTTTGAACCTGCCGCGCAGTTCTTTTGTAATACAAATATCCTTGTATAAGACCTTGAGACCACCGCGCACACAAAACACAAATTGCACACTAGCCTATTCCCCTTAGAGGGAATGTTGCTCCCCACTACTGTAACTGATGTTTCTCCTCCTCTCTACCCCCACCCCGACCGCTGTAACCGATGTATCTGAGGTGCGGGGTGACTTCACACCCTGTACTCGCGGGTTAGGCGTGAAATCGTGACGAACGTGCTAACTGACCAACAGTTTACTTTCGCGTTACCCTACCACGTGATAGTCCCCTAGGGACACGTGATTGTATGGGGTTCGGCTGACGTCACACCAAGACCAGATACACTTTCTCGTATTCGTACGATTCTTGAATAATGCACCAAGTTTGTATGTTATGATTCATAACTCACTTTGTACAATAAATGAGTAGGCTAATGATTGCCATGGCATTCTTAAACCATGCATGTAAAAGAAATTAGACTTTACAAAAACCTGTTTTTTTATGCGTGGATCAATACACTTTTGACAACTGTTTGATGTTATGTGATGCGGTGTTAAAGCAATATGTAACCATATGTATTGTGTTTGTTGTGCAATAATGGCATGCAAATTTACGTACTAGTGAGAATCACTGTTTTCTTAACTAAAATGTAATTGTACTTTTTAAATAAGTTTAGTATATATTATATTTACATTGTGTAAAACAGTGTTCGTGTCTGTTATACGGTTTATAATATAAAAAGTATTTGGTATGTGTTATATTGTTTACATTGTGTAAAACATACGTGGTATGTTTACATTGTGTAAAACAAAAAGGTATTTGTCAAAATGTTGACATTGTGTAAAACATGCTCGGTATATGTTATACTGTTTACATTGTGTGAGGTGTACTTGGTATCGTTTTTACTTTTACATTATGTTAAAAAGTATCTGTATTTGTTACAATGTTTACATTATATATGCTGACAAGAACCCAAGAGAATGTGCATACATGACGCCACAGAAAAAAAAAAAAACCCGTTCAACCAACACTCACCTAATCTTCGTGGTACAGATGTAATCATAGCAGTCCTCCCGACCCCACAGGCTGTACGTCACGTTGGACTTGACGTGGGTCGTGTTCAGGGGTCGGGCCCACCGGGGGACGAACGACCCGGCCACCACCAGCAACCACGCGACGACGGCAATCACCGTCGCCACGATCGACAGCACCAACTTATCCAGATTTTTGGGTTGAGCCATGCCAGACGGGGAAGTGTTGTCCAAGTGAGGTCCGTTTGGCGGGAATCAGGCAGACGCCGGTTCGGAGGAAACGCCGAGAGACTTTGTTCACTACCGTTTTAAAATCCATAATTTTAGATGACAAGGTCAAGGTGACACCACGAAATTAATTGAATAATTAATCCATGGTGTTGATTAGGGCGTATGTTGACCGTTGAGGTTTATTTCAATGGCGATTTGTTTTTTTTTCTGTTTCAGAAAGGGGCCTTCTTAAAACTGAAAAATAAATAAATAGAAAAAAAAATTAGCAATTTTGTTAAAAACATTTTAACAACATTTTAGTATACACTAATGAAAAGAAAGATGAACAGTAAATTTTACGTTTTAACAGAAAATATTCAGCATAAATAACGGTGTTTGTAAAAATAAATACAGTTCAGAAATTTGAAGTATAAATACAAGGGGGGACAACTCAACTCTGAAAACTAATCAAGGAATCGTCACCCTCTAAACCAGTGGTTCCTAACCTGGGTTCGATCGAACCCCAGGGGTTCGGTGAGTCAGTCTCAGGTGCTCCGCGGAAGTCAAGACACACACCCAACTCATTTGATTCACGATTTGATTTTGTCAGTGAGGACGATAGAACTGTTAATAAGGGTTCGGTTAAAGCGCTTATGGTAATGGTGGGGTTCGGTACCTCTATACAAGTTAAAAACCACTGGTTTAAACAAGTTAAAAACCACTGGTCTAAACAAGTTAAAAACCACTGGTCTAAACAAGCCAGTGAACTCTATCAGACAGAGATTACAAACTTAAGCCCCACCTTCCCCCACCCCATACCGTTAGATTTGAATTACATATTCTGATAAACACAAAACTCCTACGAGAAAGCCCCGGTAAAACGAATACATTGTCAAGTTGTAAACTATAAAAATGCGTGTGTATGGGTGAGGGTATATTTTGATCAGTTTATGGAAACAACCATTGGTGGAATTTTTAAAGATAAAGGCATAAATCTGTATTTAGACGTCTATTGCGTTGGTTTACGTGGTGACAGTCAAACGCGGTCTAGTCTATTTATCATACAACACACGCCCATTTGTTAGTAATGATGGACGTATTTATCGCCATTTCGTTTTATAATAATTTATAGTCATCATCTTTTCTCGTTCGTGTCCATGACACGTGGGACAGATGAAGTAGAGTCCATCTGTTTCACGAACCTCGGCATTTGAAGGGATAGTGTGGTCAGTACTATGCCCAACCGTCTTTGCTTTCCCTAACATGAGTTAGTGACCCATCCGAGGAGGGTGGACTCAGGGACGTTCTCAGAGGCGTAGCGAGGGGGGGCGGGGGGTGCTGACCGCACCGGGTGACACCATTTAGGGGGGAGGGGGTGACACCAAGGCAAAAAATAGCAAAATATATAGAGAAAAATTTGAGGGGGGGGGGGGGTGCAAATGAAAAGTTTGAGGGGGGGGGGGGGGTTGCAAATCGAAAATTTGAGGGGAGGGGGGGTGCAAATCGAAAATTTGAAAGTTTGTCCCCGGGAAGGGTCGCTACGCCTCTGGGGGGGGGGGTGACACCATTAAGTGCCGCACCGGGTGACACCCGACCTCGCTACGCCACTGGTTCTACTGACCCCATCAAGCTATATTGCAAATATTGATTTCCTAAGAAGAAATCAGAATTACAAAATGGATAGCTTAATGTATATTCAAGGGCTTACTAACATCAACGCCTCGATGTAATTTTCTACTACTGTTGAGTAGATAGCTTAGGCCTGTTAAACTTAAACATTACAAAAAACTCCAGACATTTTCGCTGTCTTATAAAAGGCAATGTTACGGGAGGGAGGGGATGGTGGGGAGCGTATTGAAGACAAACACAGGTCTTAAGAAAGCGGCAAAACAGTCGGCCATGACATAGAAAACACGAGGCAGGTGACGGTGTTTGGCGCGCGGCAACGAATTATGTCAAAAGGCGGTTTAAAAAAAGGCGACCGTGGCCTCGCGGAATAAATATTTAGGCCGGCGCAAGGCTAAGGGGGTATAGAAAGTTATTTTTGTTGTTTTTGTTTTAACGGGCTGTGCCTAGACTTGCTGTATGACGCAGTAGCAAGTTTGGAGTGTTTGTTTTGTTTTGGTTTAAAATTTGGGAAACCCAATACATAAAATGCACACGTTGTATGATACATTCTTTGGTAGAAATTGACACAGCTTTAAGCTACTGTACTTTGTATAAAGTGGAGTATTGGAAAAGGAGAAATAAAACAAAAGTGGTGCTATTTGGGCAGTTTATATGGTAGAGGAGCTCAGTGAAGGTTCATATGGCAATATATTTGAATACATACATATATTATATTAAATATATTCGCAAAATTGATAGTTTAGTTAACATAAAGCTTGTTTTCATTTAAGATAATATTTTACGCCTCACTAGATGTGAAATACTATGGCATGTCCCGTCGTTAAATACCGATGAAGCGAACAACCTTACTAGATCTAGACACGATGTGATACGTGTTAGTGGTTCAGACACGCATTGTTCATGAACAAGATTTAACACACACAACAGCATATAACTAATGTTGTCAATCATCAACAACATTCAAAGTTAATGCTGACCGAAGTGTTTTTTCTTGTATACCCTAATGTTGAGTATATGTTGATATTCATTAAGAGCAATGCCCAGCTTATACCCTAGCCGGATTTCGCATACTAGTCAGCCTTAATGCTCTTTACAAAAACCCAGTAATCTCACATATACACATTTTACCAGACAATCACGTTTTCAAATAACAACATAGTGGTATCTAGAAAAAAAAATCACTAATCTGCATATTCAAATGTAATGAACTCTACTCCACCTACCTGTGGATAATGACTCTATAGACATAAAAAATGGCTGTCTATTGCTTTAAATAATACAAAATAATAGAAAATTATGAACACTTACTCTACACAATTCTGAAAGGTTATTGTTATTTAAAAAAAAACCTTTAAACAAAACAGTGTGATTATAATAATATGGACACATACAGGCAAGGTTCAAAGTTCACAGCTATTAACTTCTCCAAACAACGAATTGTTAAATATTCGTATGCTACAACCGGAAATGAAAACTGAAGCGTGTTATGCTTCAAGTGGATTGTATGGGTTTCAGCGAAATGCGAGGGTTGTGGGGTTAGGGTGAATAGTGTATGGTTCAGTGGTTCTCACTGTGAAATACAAGGGGGCTGTGGATGACAGCAGGTGCGTTGATGGGATGTTTAGAATAGAACTACGCAGTGTGTCGTGTTGTTGTTGTAGTTTGTTGGTGGCTTGGTACAACGCAAGAGGATTGGGTCATTGGGTGAGATTGGCAAATCGGTTAGGGTTAAATCAGTTTTAAGGTTTTAGGTCATAGGTTAAGTTAGTTCGTAGGTTGGTTTTAGTTTACTCGTGAGACCATCGGTTAGGCTTATTTGTTAGGCTGGGTTGTGGGTTAGAGAATGATCCAGGGTTACATCATTAGTTTAGTCAAGGGTTGGGGTTAGTCATGAGTTAGGTTTTAGTTCGGTATTAAGGTACGACATGACTTATTCGTTGATTTAGTTTTAATTTTAAATGCTAATTTATTATTTTAAGATTGGGGCGATACATATTAAAGATACCAATATGCCCGCGATCGTAGAAAAAAAAACACACAATATGAATAACAGTATTAGAACCACTGGGCTATTGGTGGTGTATATTAAACTCCGCATACATTTCGTTGGCTTTTGTAACCACCACGCTCATACCCAGAAGACATGATAACAACATCCGGTCACGTGACGAGTTTTTCCAGAAGGTGCGCCTCGCTATTCAAAACCTGGTTACGCTGCGGAGACGAGGTCTTTGAATGGCACGCATGACTGAACACGATTCACAGTGGGTTTGATAGGTCTGTGTTTACAGTTATGAAAGTAGATGAGCATTTTTTTTTTAGTTTTATAAAAGACTAAGCACTTTAGCGGTGAGGCCTCGAAAGTATTTGTATTGGCTTTGACACGTCAAAAAATGATTATGTAACATACAAACTGGCAGGAGCTCCCCCCCCCCCTTTTCCATAGAAGAAATGCATGGAAGAAATTAAGGATAGGATTAAATCATCACCTACTTATTGCAGTATAACGTCCCTGAGTCCACCCAGCTCTTATAGGTGCCTAACTATCACGTCTGGAAAACTCTTGTCAGCGGCCTATGTCACAGTAGGGACGACAGGCAAACATGACATGACATGAACTATCACGTTAGGGAAAGTAAAGGTTGCTGGACATAGTTCTAACCACAATACCCCTTCATATGCCGAGGTCACAGAAACAGGTGAACTCTACTTCACTTGCCCCTATAGACCGTCATGCTTGAAACGGAACTTTACTTTTTACGTGTACATTACAGTAAATGAAAGTGCAATAACCCGTTAGATTAAAACTGAACCACCCCATATCAGGGGGTCATAGTGCCACACCCCATTACTTCAGGAAGATTAGGTCCAAGTTCACACACCCCTGCACGTAAATTCAAACCGTATCAAACATGAAACTGCCTGTCAGGTTAGGGTTCGATGTTTAAATTTTTTTCTTAACACTAGGGAGAAGCAACCGGTCATGTGATTAAGTTCGTACATCCAACATGCATACTTTGGTCCGTTAACTTTACACATCAGCAAAAATAATATAGCACTTTAGCACTCAACATATTCTCAAACGTTACTTCCAGACTGCCATACATTATATATATATATATATGTTACGGTCAAAGCCCGAAGTCGGCCAATGCGCAGATTGGCCGGCCAATCCGCGCATTGGCCAATATCGCCTCCCATAGGTCGGTCAAAGTCCGAAACTTTGCTTGATTTCGGCCTTTGGCCGGCCAATCCGCAGACTGGCCATGGTTGACCGGCCAAAGTCTGAAATAGCTCTTGATTTCGGCCTTTGGCCGGCCAGTCCGCGGTAAACCGGCCAAAGTCTTAATTAGAAGATAATCTGGCTAGGGACGACCGGCCAAAGTCCGAATTAGAAAATCATGAGCAGATTTTGGGTTTTTTAATGCCGTAAGGATCATGAAACGAAGTCTTTATTGATTATTAATTAAAGTAAATGACAGAAACATTCAAATTCTTTATTGTACTATAGTCTCAATCAATCAGTATTATCATTTATTACAACAAGTTGAACTTTTAGGGCATTTAGAATTACATAGCAGCTTGTCATTTTTACACTTGCAGCGATTTGTTGTGCACTTGGTTGT